GGAAGGCACCGTGGGAAGCATATAAAGCACAATTTGAGCTACTGGCAGAGATGAACTTGAACAGTTGTCAGCAGACTACAGGCACAACTATAGAGCACTGATAGCGGCTCCAGAACTCAGGTACGGAACCCAAAATCAGTCTGAAGTCTACAGGGCTAGGTTTAAAACGAGAGTCCATGCTAAAGGGGAGAGCCTGCAAGAGCTGGCACAGGACTTGGAAAGTATGGCACACAAGGTCTACCCAACTGCGCCACCCAATCTCCTCAAGTTGTTGCTGAGGGATCAGTTTGTAGATGCCTTTGACAGTCCACAACCGAAGATACAAGTGAAGCAAGCACACTCCTCTACTATGCAGGATGCAATACGCCAGAGTGGTGAGTCCATAATTCTGTGAGGATGTTTGGCACTGGAGAACTTGTATGCATTCAAGGGATCACAGACAGTGCAAAATATATATAGATGTTGGAGGTAAACACGCCAATCCTTCTTTCTTCTCCATCTCTGGAGGCAGTTTCCTAACTTTCAAATTGGGTCGAGCAGTTGCATTCACAAAACCATTGTCAATCAACATACTGAAAGGTTTCCATAAAATAATAAACGTATTTTGGGTCGATGAAATATTTCCAGCTGAACTTCGCCCTATAAGTCTATCAAGTTCGTCTATTTTTTATGTCTGTTAATTATCTCTTTGCTGTTCCTCTGACCTGGTTGAGTTAAAAAGGACACACTCAGGGTATTATCCCCTCTGTTTAATAATAGTTGTTGATTCCTTACAGTCTTGGCTGTAATGGACACGTTTCCACAGTTCCCTCTTTATAGTATCTTCTGGGAGGAGTTCGTATTCCTTAGAGGTTTTAATCTACAGTTCCTCGTAATACGTCTTTTTCAAGTTACACTTGAAACACCTATTAACTTGTGGTTATTTCCCCCAGTCTATGTAGTTAGCTATGTGATTACTTCTTTCCATTCTTCGAGAATATTGTCAACAAGTAGGAGAATGAACAAGTATGAACCTTCTGGCAAGTCAAAATAAAAAGGTTAAGAATTTAATCATACGTAATAGATGTGTGATCATATGGATTCAGACTGATCAGATGCTCATTTAAAATTAAAGTTTAATGGCCCAGTTACAACAGTTCTCTGGCCTAAAGTCCATTCAGATTCAGAGTGAAACTACTGACATGGTAAAGTGACATTGCTACGATTCTTATGTGTACTAATGTGATATAGCTTGTAGGCAATGTATTCCTTTAACCTAAAGACATCCCAGTTCCCAGGCTTCATTGGATCTTACACTTAACCAAAACACAACTATGCTGTCCATGTTGCCATTACCATAATAGCAGCTAACACAGCTACCCTTTTACCTAACCACATTCCTTTCACTGAGTATTCATTATCACAGACATCTCATTCCGTACAACACTCTCTTTAAATAAAAAATTAGTACAGGCCATATGCGACAAAATAGGTGTTAGTTCCTGCCTCTGGCTATACACTCATAGTCTGCATTGCAACTGCATTTTGTATTATAACAATATTAAGAAAACAGTCAGTAAAACTATATTTATATAAAATATTACATTTACATGATTCAATATATTCATTTCTCACCAAATAGAACCTTGGTTACTCAAGTTTACATACTGGATGATACATAAGCTAGTGTTTGTGAATTTCATTTTCTATAGATGTTTTGATTTGAATGAATAGAAAATCGTTGCAAGATGGAGTGGATGTGTATCGTATATACACTAATCACATGTTGTTGGGTACTGAATGTAGATACTGCACAACGAAGAAATAATAGCATACAGTTATGATTTGTGTCAGACACTAGCACAGCTACTTGTATGGTAAAAATTCACCATTTAGGTGGATCATATGTTGCTCAAGTGGCTCGTGAACTTTTAAAATTCCACAGGGAATTATTGCATGTTGGATCATAAATTTGTTGTATTGCATCACTCAATCCACAACATGGAAATGCCAATGGATTGTCTTGCCACACAGTGATATACTGTCTGGTCATGAATTTCCTAATCCTGGACATCATTTGGGAGATAAATCTATTTTTGCCACAACAACGTCAAGCTGGGTAGAAGGAGATTTCACAAGTGGTTAGATACAATGATTGATGGTTCAAAAGCTCGAGGAAGAGCAACTGAAGAAACCAGATCTAGAGTGGGTGCCCTTTGCCATGCAGCAAGATGAAGTGCAGCCATCAGAAATTGAGGAACATAGTGTAGACATACGTAACATGTAGTACTTGTATGAGTACTAAGAATTGGAGGAAGGTGTGCAGTATCCTCATTATCAACTATGGATATGTGATTCTCAGAGCTCTTTAATCAATAACACTTCAAACTTGCATAACTTTAAGTTGCAGTTTTACTGGCTGAATTTGAGTTGAGACATTAAGCAATGGTGTGGACATTTTATGCTATTTGTGTATAGTGAAAAAGTTGTCCTTTA